ATATGAGAGTAACATCTTTCAGTGACTTTTTCCGTTCTTCCGCTCTCGAAAACTTGGAAATTTCCAAGGGGGTAACTACTTGTGACAACAGTATAAAAACCCATTGTCACACAAAAACATGAAGCGAATTAAATTATGGACGGTGATCGACATCGTTTCTTTCAAAGCATACACGGTGAGCTGCAGCTGGCCTGTGACAACGCGAATGGCCATTTGCGTTTGATACGGAAATGTAGAGAAGTACAACCCAAATTAAAATTTTATCCAGATCCAGATTACTTTCCATGCAGATTTAATTCTACATGTCATGAGAGAGTTGAATCCGTTTACCAAAATTTTTTATCACTTTTAACTGACAATGATCCGGATGCTGACTTAAGAGAACTCAATCCAATCAGAATAACTAACGATGGCAGCGCCTTGTTTCGATCTGTGGCATTATCACTCGGCCTCAACTCAGAAGAAGATGCACTTGAATTGAGAGTTCGATGTTTGGTGGATGCAATTGTAAATAAAGACGAATACAAGCGAGAAGACCCAGAACTGCTGGAAGGATTAGATGATCCCGAGCAAACCACTATCGCTCACTGGGCACACTTAATCACAGAAAAAGATCGCGTAAGTTGTTATGGCAGTAGGAAAGAAAGAGTTCTATATTGATTCCAAAACTTTTTAGATGATTGAGCCGAACGCAATTACAGTACTCACACTTGTTAGCTTGGCAAAATTGACGAAACGTCCGATTAGATCAGTTTATTTTCCGCGAATGTCTACAGAACAACTATCTTTAGAAGATTCAAGCCTCTACAAAAAAATAAATCGAGTCTTTTTACCTAATGCTGATCAAAATAACGAAAGCAGACTTCAAAGAAGACCTATCACTATTCTTTGGAAATCGGAAGTAGATAAGAACAATCGTGTTTCTATTCATGTATTGCCCTTACTTCAGAACGATCTATTCGTAAGTATAACGTAGTAGCATTTCGTGAGAGAATACAAATATTCGTGTCCGTAGCGCGCAATAGCAGAAATAATAATCATATCTGAATTTTCACTCGTATTCTATTTTAGTGCAACATAAGAAAACGATCTGGTCCGTTAATGCAAGGAACAGACAACATCAACAGAACGACTCTTGCATCTCCTTTGCCGATATTGAAAACACGTTGTACTTACGTTCTTATCGCTTTTACGGTGAATTCCATGAGAGAATCGGACGTTATCAAACACAGCCAACAAATGAAGATAAATATCATCGAATATCTAAAACAACGTGCGAAAGATGCTAAAAATGGTGATCTTATCGAAGTCAATCAATGCGATGAAAAACTTCCACATTCACCGGTCATACCATTTTGTCTCACTGTGGACGTTGCTTCCGAACAGAATTTATCGCTCATTAAAGATATGAAACTGATTCGATCCAAGAGAGCTGATATCATAGCCTGTATTTTTGTCGCTACGAACAAAATGGCCAAGAAGTCAACCTATTATTCCGATTTTATTTTATTTGCTGATCATTCAAATTTGTCTGCAATGGAAATAAGTAGTCAAAGAAATATTATCTGCGTCCTTGATCGAAAATACAATGTAAATGTGCAAATGATTGATACTAGAAATGTACTGGCCGATGAAAACACATCTTACAATGCTCAGCACACATCCGATATCAATAGTTCGTGTACTCGCAATAATATGTCTCGATACCAATCGAACAGTATTGTGCGGAAAATAAGCATAATATACGGTTATCTTATTTATCGACGAAAAAACAAGCTTAGACAAGTTTCTGTAAGAAGTGTGTCTTCTGGTGAAGTCGAGCCACAAAGAGTTCGGTCAAAACTAGTCTATACTAATACTGATTCTTCGATCGCCGAACATAACTCAGATTCCATGCCAACAATTAGATATACATCAAACACGGCGCCATATTATGCGTCGACGGCAACTCTAAAAGAAATAATCCAAAGCAGACATTTTCCTCATAGATAATACAGTCAATTATTTATGCTCCACTATGTGTACATTGTACCTTTGTTTATAACTTTCTAACCCATACAGTTCAAGTTCAACTGAGTTTTATTTCTAAAATAAGCGTGAAAAATATTCGAAATTATATTTCTTTTTTCTGCTTCCTATTCAAAGCTAATTTTAACTTATTTACATGCGAAACTCTACCATCGACAAAAATTATTCAAACAGCACAATGTAAAAAAAAGAACATCAGCAATTCTTTCCGTTTTCTTCTGTCCAAGACTTCTTCAAAGTCGTTGCCTTCTTACTTCGCGCTCGATATCCTAGGTCTTCTTCTGACAATGGACACACGATTTCTACTTCAAAATAGTGATTTGAACGATGGTCCATGTTCATTTCGATCATTCGATTCCAGTTCTTATAGTGACGATCCAAGTATGCTCGACGATTCTTCTCACCACCAATCGCCCACAACTGAAGATGAGCGAATGGAACACGTTCGAATGTATTTTCCCAGTCGGACTTCGTCAGATAGTACTCAGGATAATCATGAAAAGCCACATCTTGCGCCAGAACATAGCGTTGCAGCTGTTCATTCCAACTAATGGCAATGAGATCAAGAAATGGCCATTTGCTAGTCCACTGTCGAACACCATCTGTCCAAAGATCGGGTGCAAGACCTGGACTATCTTGGTGAGTGACTTGCAGACCCCATCCTGGAACGTCGATGATTTCGAGACCGTATTCAGCGAACTGAGGAGCAAGTGCTTTGATTTGTGGAATATCATCTTGAAGAATATCGAAGTCAGCATCATTATCATGTTTGATGAGACCACCATGTCGAACAGCGCCTAGTAGAGTACCACCTTCGATGGTGTACCGAATATGATTTCGATTGAAAAGACCGTCGGTAACTTGGACGATATCGTAGAGTTTGTCGACTTCATCGTCAGTCAATTTTTCTTTGTCTAAGCGTTGTCTCATAGTTGCATGGTTATCAGCACGATTGGTGCGATCGATGTCCATGCGAAGAAGAGGCGAATGCATGATGGTTGAGAATAAGTATGTTTTTGTTTTGGTCTAAATCAGTAAGAAATGTGTAATAGTCATAGCTTCAATCGAATACTATCTGTGAGTGATGACCTGTTATATACAAAGGGAAGCAGGGATGAATGAAAAAAAAACATGTAACTACGTGAAGGAAGACGCATATCATCTTCTAACACCATCTAAGTATTGAATTCATAATACGAACACGTTTATATAATGGTGAAGACTTCAGTACATTTTCAAATGCCATCTAGGTATTGAAAGTCCGTTCGTTCTTTTGTAAATAACGTGTCTATGGGAAAATGTTGCCATTTACGTAATCAACTATTATTTTATCCGTGTACAAAAATAGACCACATATTTGCTGTTGTCTGCACTTGAGGAGCCGTTTTGTAATACGCGAATTAATCTATGTTCCATCGCGACAGGGTGGGTGAAGGTGTTTCGTTCTGCTTTGTATTCACTATTTAAATGGATAATCATCTTAGTTATTATGGTAGAGTATACTGCGAAAGAAGATAATTTACCATCTGATGCATGCAGTGCTTCAGGCGACTGTTCGTTTTGTTTAAGTTTCCATTCTCTTTTAGTGAAATCAAAGTGTACGTACTCGGTTTTTTTGTAGATGTGTTTGTTCAGATTGTTTTTCAAACAGTTGCATTCATTTTGAAAGGAATAAAACAATACATAAAAATCAAGGAGAGCTGTTTTTAGTCGACGATGTGCAAGGATACAGATAATTATGATTCTATGTGTTCAACACAATCCACGCCGACAAAAAACCGCTGGTAGATTACGACCTATTAGATCATCAAAATGTGTACGGCAAGTAGTTGTTATGGATTTCCAACTACCAGTCAATCCAACATCTCAGCGCGATAGAAGATGCATCATATTTCTTTACTACCACTATGCGCTAGTTTTCGAAAGTATCGATCGTCAGTTCATCATTGATCATTGCTGTTCCTCAACCGCAACATCCATCAAAATGTGAAGAACAGTCAGAGCTTTGCTTCGCAACATAACATTACCATTCGGAGAATGGTAGCATTTTACTTCGTATGGGCCGCTAACAATAACAGTCTGATCGAAACCACCATCAATGCCGATGTAACTGCAACGGCATTGACGGAAGAAAAAGTAGCAGCTTCTGTTTATTCAACTTTTTTGTTACTACTAGTTGTTTTCAGTTTTTGTTTTTTTCTCAGTATGATTTCATATTCCTTCTCAACGGAAGTATATTAGGACGATATCGCCTCACATGATATTCCTTCTCATCTTTGCATGGGTCAACCAGTGTGTTCACTAGACTCAAATCTTTACGATCTTTTATTGTTCTCAAAAATTTTCTCGACACTCATGAACGTTACGCTGCCGCTCAGAAGCAAGTGAGCTCGCTTTGTATAGCCTCGATTTGTGTTATCTTCTCGATGTTTTATTCTACCCTTTGCTGTCCACACACACACACACACACACTCACATATATATAGAAGGCACGCTGATTTTTTACGTAAGGTAGAGAATACACGTGGAGTACCTTCGGGCAGGATTCGACATTTTCTTGAGCGGATTTGTTTCAGCGTAGGTTCCAAGTACAAAGTGATAAGTTCTATCGATTCCAAAAATAAAATTTCCAAAAACGTTCTTTCTTCACCCTCGAAACCTCAAAAAATTTGAAAAAAACACCCAAAACTAGATAAAAACCGGAGCGAATTCGTTTTACAACCACTGATCGCGATTCTAACACTGATTCCAGATCAAACCTAATATTTCAAGAGTCAGCACTACAAAGGGCTGTTTGATATTTATGCGCAAAGCTGTTATGATGAAAAAGGTTCTTTTTTGCAACTCCTCTTTGTCAGATAAAGATATTCTTTTCTCTTTCTCTTCCATTACACACCTTTAATACTTCACGTTAACTTGTCTTTTATTCAAAATTATGACAAGTGAGATATTTGATTCTTTTAGTTCCAAACATGACATCTCAACAGTTCAAATGTGCAATATGTACTAAAGACATTCCCTGCTCGGTTAAATCTAAAGTTATTGCGAATAAAGTAGGTTTTATCGTGAAATGCTCTCTGAAAAATAAATTTTGCCGCCTCCTTTTGTAGATCTATTGCAGTAATTGCATCGTATCATCGAATTCTAACAACAAAATATCATTAAAACCACAAAATACAGCTGCATCCAGTAACAACCCATATCGCGAAGAAAGTAATAAGGTTGATTTATTTCGTTTGTTGTTATTCATTGTTTACATTCATATTCATTTGCTAAAAAAGCCTAAGACAAAAATATGATGCAATATTTTGTTTATTTTAGAGACCAACTTGTGACAATAATATCGAACTGCAGTGGATGGAAAGCAACCATCATACATTGTGAACGAATCAGGCATAATTAAAAATGGACACGCACCTACACTTGTTACTGATCATCCTAATTCTGTTGAGTATGTAGAACCTGATGTACATTCCATAATTGCAGAGGTCGATGCTGAGAATCCAACGGTCGATAACATATTTCATGATTTGAGCAAAGATATGAATATTGTTGTATGTGGTCCACCAAGGGCTGGAAAAAGCACATTAATTAATGCCATATGCGGACGAGAAGTTCGTAGAACTAGTGCTGATCTTGCTTCTGTCACGTCAGACATCACTTGTCATATTATAAAAGGAGGATACTGGATCAAAAAAATCAATTATCAGTACAACTTTTGAGATACACCAGGACTTGAGGCCTGGTCAGACACAAAAATTCAAGCAAAAGTAGAAGACATTCTTCAAAAGACTAACTCGAAGTCTCTTTGTATGATATTCTGTGTAGCAGCAAGTTCATTCGTAAGAGTTGAACATCTACAGTGGCTTCTACGTTTATGCATGGAAAAGCATATATTTTGTGCTCTGGTTTGTACATACATGTACGCAGGTGACTTAAGTAGTCGAAAAGCTGTTTTAGATAACTATGATAGACCATTATCAAGATATATTACTGATTCACCAAGAGAAGACAACGGCGTAAAGTTTTATGGTAACATTGGTTTGACTATTGCTGTCAATAGCCAACCATTTTAAATCGATGACAGTGAGAAACCTGTAAGCGGTGTTAACAAACTTATCAATGGCATTATGGAACCATTAGTTGATGAAAAAGTAGTAGAATGGCTCTTAGTCGTCCTGGAAAATAAAGGTTTTTTTTGATAAACACTTGAAACTAGGTCGCATCGCATCGGACGTTTCATTTCGCGAAATGTCAGACGTATGAAAAAAATCCTTCGTATAAATGAGAATGGAAAAAGTTAAAACAAAACATTCAGATAGAAACTGACCAGACAAATATATCTGATTTGATGTAATATGAATACAGAAGACTATTTATTCGAGAGATTTTACTTTGTCATGATCAAATACGACTTCAGCGAAAACGAAATGTCGCCCAAATATAAATATGATCACTACCAAACGTTTTCAACGATTGTTCGAGTGTATGATCCGGTGTATCCCAAGCTTTGCCATGATCAATTGCTTCAAGTCTAGTAGGATCATAGACAATATGATCAATATCCATATTCGACCAGGTATATTTCGGATCAGAATAATATGTAGGAACACATGCATATTTGGATGTTTCATGTATAGCATTCTCGTAATCAATCCATTCGAATTCATAATGGTCTTTGATTTCAGCATTCAAATCACCGGCCATAAGAGTTATCGGTTGTTCACTACCAAGTAGAGCAGTACATCGACTACGAATCATTCGGGATTGTTCAGCGCGATGATGATAATCGAGATGAAGGTTAAGTAAAACAAGATTTTTCGACGGAATAGTTATAATTTGAATAGCATCACCTCGTTCTAAATCAAGTATGCCACTGATAATTTTCACTTCCGGTGCATAAGAATATTCCTTTCGAATTAAAGTGAGGAGTCCATTTGCTTTATTGCTTGCTGTTGGATTATTTGAAATGAATTCGAATGAGTAGATATCACTTAGCTTCTGTTTGAATAAATCTAATTGATCTTCTTGTGCTTCTTGAAGCATGACAACGTCACGATTCAGTGAACGAATATGATCGGCAACTAATGGTAAACGAGTTTGTTCATCAGCAGCTAAATCATATGTAGAAGGATACCATTCTCGCGGTACCCAACATGGAGCCAGAATATTCCAACTCAATAAGGATAAATCATGAGGCGATGATAATAACGTCGACATACTTTCGCGTAGAACAATCTGACATGAATAAAAAATATAGACGAGATACTTATTCTTATATCTAAACGTAGGACTAGTTCTATCCAATCAGAAACGTGCTGTCAAATTAAATTCTAATTTTTATGTGACAATTCGAAATCTAAAGATATCCAATTGTTATTTCTTTCCTGCTGAATTTATTTAAAAAATATTCTGATTGGCAATTACAAATATCTTCAATCTATTCACATGTGAAACTCACGCCATCTATAAAATTTATTCAAACAGCACAATGTAAAAAAAAGAACATTAGCAATTCTTTCCGTTTTCTTCTGTCCAAGACTTCTTCAAAGTCGTTGCCTTCTTACTTCGCGCTCGATATCCTAGGTCTTCTTCCGACAATGGACACACGATTTCTACTTCAAAATAGTGATTTGAACGATGATCCATGTTCATTTCGATCATTCGATTCCAGTTCTTATAGTGACGATCCAAGTATGCTCGACGATTCTTCTCACCACCAATCGCCCACAGCTGAAGATGAGCGAATGGAACACGTTCGAATGTATTTTCCCAGTCGGACTTCGTCAGATAGTACTCAGGATAATCATGAAAAGCCACATCTTGCGCCAGAACATAGCGTTGCAGCTGTTCATTCCAACTAATGGCAATGAGATCAAGAAATGGCCATTTGCTAGTCCACTGTCGAACACCATCTGTCCAAAGATCGGGTGCAAGACCTGGACTATCTTGGTGAGTGACTTGCAGACCCCATCCTGGAACGTCGATGATTTCGAGACCGTATTCAGCGAACTGAGGAGCAAGTGCTTTGATTTGTGGAATATCATCTTGAAGAATATCGAAGTCAGCATCATTATCATGTTTGATGAGACCACCATGTCGAACAGCGCCTAGTAGAGTACCACCTTCGATGGTGTACCGAATATGATTTCGATTGAAAAGACCGTCGGTAACTTGGACGATATCGTAGAGTTTGTCGACTTCATCGTCAGTCAATTTTTCTTTGTCCAATCGTTGTCTCATATTTGCCTGGTTATCAGCACGATTGGTGCGATCGATGTCCATACGAAGAAGAGGCGAATCCATAATTAATACGAATGCGTTTGTTTTGTACGACGAATCAGTAAAATATGCGTAATACCAATAGTATCAATCGCTTGTTATTGGGGTGTGATCGTCTATAAATATATCAATGAAAAGATGTACTTATATATACACTTGATGACGCATACGCTGCAAAGCATGATAATAAAAGGTCACATGGATTGAAATTGAATTACGACTTACTAATCATTTATGTGCACTCCAAACTGTCATAAAATCTCTTATCATTTCTTATGATTTCTCGCGACTACTTTATGTTTAAATGTAGGTATAACTTCGCATTGTAAATCTGTACAACTCGATGTTTTTATGGGATAGGTCTATTTCCATCGCGCGTGTATCATCATAAACATTGAGTAGAAAGAGAAAAAGCATCGTCAGATGAAAGGAAGAAAAAAAAAGTACATATGACGTTGATGATACGTAATAACTAATTAGTAATATCAACTGGTGAGAGAGAGAAAAGAAAGAAAGAAAGAAGGAACGAGAAAAAGGAAAGTGATAACAAAAGAGCGATAACGCTTAATGTATAAATAAAATCGAAGAATCAAACACAGAGAGAGACAAATGGTGGCACACATCAATCACAGTATATGCTAACGGTACGTGCAAAAAACTTTTGTATATTGTTAAAATGTGTTGGAGACGATGGACGGGAGTCTATGAAGAGAAACTTTAAAGAATACGTGCTTATCTTGTCTTACACTCAACAAATATGTACGTGCAACTCTTTTTGATTGAGTGCATTTCGTGAATATATTCTCTATTTGAAATATAACGAAAAAAAAACGATTAAAACTAAATATCGTATTTGTTCAGTTCGGACAATGATTAAAAAGAACCTTGATAAGTCCTTCATAGTAAGTAACGACAGCAATATCTTCCCATCCGTCGTTATTTAAATCTTTAAAAGCAACCCAATTCGGTCGAGAATCATAACCAAGTGGATACCATGTTAGATTAATAAAACGTCCATTGTTTGTACCAAGAAGAAGAGCAACATTGTTTGCACCATAGTTAACTACCGCAAGATCTTTTTTCAAATCTCGATTAAAATCGCCGACAGCCAGACAGACTGGCTTCGAATTTTCACCCATTGAATAACTCAGTGAAAGAACAAATTCACCATTTCCTACACCGAGAAATATAACAATCGTATCGCTCATTGTATTAGCCACAATAATATCGATAATCGAATCATTATTAAAGTCGTCGGTAACTAGAGATACTGGATATGAATCATTTCCCGTGGAATAGAGTGTTACATTTGAAAATAAGCGTTTCCCATAACCTAAGAATATACCAATACTATTCGAACCACGATTGGCAGTGGCAATATCTAAGTAACTATCATTATTAAAGTCTGCGACAGCTAATGCACTCGGAAGAGAATTTGCACCGACATTGTAGGATGTTGTTTGTCCGGTAAATGGTTTCGTACCATTAGCGAGATAGATTTGAACATAATTATTACCGTACTCAGCCAAACCGATATCTAAACAATCATCGTTATTAAAGTCACCAAGAGCAACGAAACCTGGAATAGCTGCAGATTGTTCGACGAGTATCAATGATATACTGGCAAATGTTCCATCTGCATAACCAAAAAAGACACCCATGTATATACTATTCGAGTCAATGGCAATTATATCCAACTGATTGTCATTATTGAAGTCACCCACGTTCAATTGTTCGGGATGAAGATTACTCCCAGTTGAAAATGTACGAATATGATTGAAACTGCCATTGTGAAATCCATAGAAGATAACAATTGTGGATGTACCATAATTTCCAACGGCCAGATCGACTTTGCCATCATTGTCAAAATCTCGAGCAATCGCATGAACAGGAGACGAAGCATCGCCAGTAGATAGAATCAACTGATCGGTAAAACTTTTATTACCGTTGCTAAAAAATATGCCAACTTGATCGATACCTCTATTCGCAACAATAATATCTGGATAAGAATCTTTGTTCACATCAAAAAGTGTAACTGAATTAGGACGTGAACTTTTACCAGTATCTAATTGTAGGACGGAATCGTATGTTCCGTTGCAATATCCAAAGAAGACGCCAACGGTATTTGTGCCGTAGTTAGCAACAGTCACATCGAGACAATCATCTTGATTAAAATCGCCAGCAGCAACCGAACGTGGACGAGAATCAGTACCGCTTGAAAACAGAACTGGATCAGCAAAACTTCCATTGCCATAGCCTAGGACGATCGCAATACTATTAAGACCACGCTTTACTTCTATAATATCCAATCGTCGATCATTATTCACATCACCGACCGTAACAGCTCGCGGCTGTGAATGGAGTATTTCAGAATAGGTATGAACTGGTGCAAACGAGCCATTACCGTAGCCGAGAAACACGCCGACTTTTCCTGCATAGTAAAGTGAGACAGTTAAATCTAAATAACCATCGTTGTTAAAATCTCCTATAGCTAATCCATCTGGACTAGAATCTTTTCCGGCGTCACATGGAGTTTGCCATGTAAATCGTGTATATTTAAGTCCGTAGAATATGCCCACTGTACCTTGATTCTCATTTGCAACAATTAAGTCTAAATAGATGTCTTCATTCATGTAGCCAACAGCAAGAGCAGTTGGATTCGAATTGGTATCGAGCGTATATAAGAGTTTTGTCGGAAATGTAGCGTTTCCATTACCTAACAGTACTACAACACTGTTATTGTTACCATCAGTAACAGCAACATCCAGCTCATTGTCTCCATTAAAATCATTGATAATAACATGACCTGGATTAGAACCTGTGCCGATGGGAAAGGGGCTTTTTGAAGTAAAATATCCATTGTCATGGCCCAGAGCCATGCCGAGATTCTCACTTCCTGAATTAGCAACAACAATATCCATTTGTGCATCATTATTGAGGTCGCCAATGGCAAACGAATATGGACGAGGACTAGAACCTGTTGAATAACTAGTGTCACTTTGAAAATTTGCATAGTAGTTTCCTAATAAAATCGGCGTTCGATTATGCGAAGAATCTTGTGCTGGATGGCCGAGTAAGATAGCAATGCTATTTGAACCAAAATTTGCCGTAGCCAGATCTAATCGACCATCTCGATTGTAATCGCCGATGGTGATCGAATACGGCTTGGAGTCAGGACCAGTGACATAAGTCCATTGATTCGTAAAATTTCCATGATGATCTCCGAGAAACACACCGACGTTGTTACCGAACGGATTGGCCACTGCTAAATCGAGGAAATCATCGTTATTAAGGTCAGCGATACTGATCCAGATCGAACCAGAACTTAACCCGGTTGAATAGAACTGCGCTGTGGTGAAACTTCCATTTCCAAAGCCAAAGAAGACGCCAATACTATTCGTGGCTGAATTAGCCACAACAAAATCCAGATTCGAATCGTAATTTAGATCAGCGATAGCCACAGCTGATACATGTGATTTATCCCCAGTGGCAGAAAGGCTAACTAATGTGAAAGCACCTGTCCCAGATCCAAGAAAAACGCCAATATTACCAATACCATAATCTGCAACTGCAACATCTAAATTTCCATCGTGATTAAAATCGCCTGCATCAATACCGATCAACTGTGATTGCGATCCGAGCAGATATTTCGTTACTGGTCCAAACGTTCGATTACCGTAGCCGAGCAAAACTCCAATATTACCAGTAATTTGATCAGTGTAGATAATATCTGGATGATGGTCATTATTAAAATCATTCACAGTCAAACATCGTGGTGACGCTGGACTTCCAACAGAATATGTCACGACATCCATAAACGATCCATCGCCATTCCCATACAGAATACCCAAGCTTTCATCATTGAAATGTGTAAGTACAACGTCTAATTGTTGATCATGATCTAAATCAGCTAGAGCAATGCCACGTATATCCGCTTGGCTAACAGACGAGTAGGAAACTTGTTCCTGAAAACTCCCATCACCGTTACCGAGAAATACACCAATACTGCCCGTACCCGAATTAGCAACAACAAGATCGAGATATGTATCTTTGTTTATATCGCCTGTAATGATTTGGTAAGGAATAGCTCCACTGCCTGCTGAGTAGGTCGTTGGAACTTCTGCTTGTACCATAACGTATCCAATCAGTACCACGATTGCATTCGTACCGTAGTTTGCTATCGCAACATCCGCTTGGCCATCATTGTTAAAATCTCCAACAGTTAAACTAAATGGAGCTGAATCGATACCAGTCGAATGCATTACAAAAGATGGAAAACTTCCATTCTCCGATCCAATAAATATACCGATATTGCCTGTTCGATAGTTTGCGACAACAATATCCAAATGTCCATCTTGATCAAAATCGCCAGCTGAAATGGACTTTGGTCCTATTCCAGAACTCGTCGGATAGGTTATTTGTGACCCAAAACTGCCATCACCACAACCGAAAAATACACCAATATTGTTTTTACCCGAGTTCGCTACCGCAATGTCTAGTTTTCCATCATTACTAAAATCATGGATGGTAATCGAACACGGATAGGAATATAGACCCGTCGAATACGTCTTTTGTGATGCAAAATCTCCTCGACCGTCGCCAAGAAAGATTCCAATATTGTGCGTACCGTAATTAGCCACAACAATATCTTGGTTTTGGTCATCATTCAAATCACTAATAGCAACAAAGTAAGGAAACGAATCATAGCCAGTCGAATAACGAACTAAATTGCTGAATGTTCCATCGCCATTACCAAAAAATATACTTATATCATGTGTACCATTGTTTACAACAACAAGATCTGATCGACCATCATCATTCAAATCGCCAATAGCTAATGATACTGGACGAGAAATACCAGTGGAAAATACTCCTTGTTTGTTGAACGATCCATTTCCAAGTCCAAAGAAAATTTCGATTGCATGCGTATCGTAATTAGCGACGGCCATGTCTAAATGTGTGTCGTTATTCAGATCGTTTAGACTGACTGCTAGTGGCGTCGATGGGTCTCCTGTTAGCACAATGATTTGGGATCCAAACGTTTCATTGCCATAATTAAGAAATATTCCAATCGAATTCGTACCAGAATTGACCACCACAATATCTAGTGTATTGTCATGATTTAAATCTCCCGCAGCAATTGACTGTGGATAAGAATCATGTAATAAAGAGTTACTACCACTGATGGCTCGGAAATTCGATTGACAAGTGTAATCTAAAGTCAATAATTACAGAAACGTTATGTATCTAATCAATTAGACGTACGAGATTTTGGTGAATTTAAACAAACAATTACGATGGCTATACTCATAACAGTAATTGTCAGTAGAATACTTGCAATTATGACGACGTAATACGGTGCATTCGTTGATTTGCTTTCCGTTCCACTGAAATTAATGAATCAGGGATTCAAGATATAAAAAAAACTATCAGAAAACGTACATTTCATGTGGAACATCTTCCGATGTATTGGAAGAATCCGGATTCCCGATTCCATTTTCCAATATCATTTCTAAACTTTCGCTGGACATGATTGAAGTCGTGTGAGATGCACAGTGACGAATACTAAACTAAACGAACAAATACTATGTATGAGGACACATATTCGTTTTTATACTTATTCTTACATATATTTGATGAATAAACAATTACTAATGAATATCGAAATATCTATGCGTTTATAATACTTATGTCGTATGGGTGATCGCATCTTCTGAGCAATTTTCTTTTATAAGAATATTGATTGGCTGCGATTCTGTACGAAATATTTGCTATTTTTTTAATAGGCTTCTTTGCGTGGACGATACAATATAAAGAATATTTGAGAATAAATGATAATTAAGAAAACAAACTAGAGCAAAATGGTTCTCTAATTGGCAAGATAATATGATGACGCGAATAAATGGAATATAGCAAACATATCGGTTACTTTTTACTCATTCTTTATTTTCACATCACACAAAAACAAATATATATCATTCAAAATGACAAAAAAGGGAAACTACACCTAATGGGTTACCACATTATACTATCCATTTCGATATTTATTTCCTTACAATTTGTCGAATTCCTTTTTCTCTTCGCACCATCGTGTAACAGACTAACATAATTCTTAATATACTTGGAGAATAATGTCATTTTCGCTGGTTAATTGTATTCACGAATAGATTCCATCATATGTGTAATATTTCTAGTTTTGCAGTATATTTTCGATGACTTTAATTCTCTTGGATACTTCACTTTCAGATTGAAGCGACTGAGTTCTGGATGAGATCTACCTCGAGACCATGATGCAGGATCACCACTGCTTCTAACAATAAATATGGATCTCGGATGTTCCGAAACAGTTAAACCCATATCGTCCCAGATCAGCTTCTGCACCACTTCAATATTTAATTCATAATCAACTCCTTCCAGTTTATTCCGCCAGTAATCAGGTCTACAAATTAACTCATTCGTGATATTGATCATCTTCATAAACATAGACGAACGAGCAATTAAATGACGATCCGACCAGCCATTGTAATGTTCATCAGTAGGCAATAAAATGTCGCTCTCCGTCATAGTGGTGAAATCAAAATGTTCACATAGATGCAGCTCATCAGCTCGAGTCAAAATAAACCAATCATATTTGTCGAGCAACTGAAGTTTACTGATCTTTTGTTGTAACATCCACCTGAATGCAAATGAAACTGATGTATGCGACCTATGGTTACAGTTTGCAACACCACCCATGAATAATCCCGGAATGTTGCAATATTCTCTCCATTTTCCTACGATTCCTTCATTGCCACATGTTTCAGATACCAGCTGCAGAACGACACCCCAATCTTTGTGTTCTTCCTCCATCCAAATGTACTGCGCTATGTCATGTAAGTATGTTCTGCTTGTGAAATCTGATATATGCAATGCTAAATGAGCATTGTATGGTTTTAAGAGGAATTTGTGCAGAGATTTCCACGCTAGAGGTCCGCCACGCAACTGTCCAAGCGTGATGACAAGCACTCTTGGTTTGTTTTGATTTTCACCTATCCAAGTCATCGTTCGCCAAATACCATCTTCTAGCTTCACCTTCGGTCTCCATCTCAAAATGTTCTTCCCATCACCGTACGACTCTTCATCGCTTTCACCTGACGTAAACTCGTAGCTACCAGTCACCCTTCTTCCCAGCTTTTCTTCTGATACGTTTCCTATCATCTGTACAAGCTCTTTCGTGCTCGTTCTTCTATCACTTCGAACATCTAACACACCCTTGTTCATTCCTTCTTCGTATACCAACATCAGACCGTCCACTGCGTCATCAACATAGATCAAGTCACGGTGTTCTTCTCTTACGCTCCACCGTGTCAATGAGTCCTTGTCTGCGCTCAACCCTTTTGCTATCAGCCAGCCCACTATCTGTTCGTTGAGATCAGTATAGTCACAGTTGGGACCATACACGCTCTCTAAACGCACTACTCCAATGTTGAACTCATGAGAGTGTACTAGATCGTTTTCGTATTGTTTCAACTTCTCACTCAAGGGCACTGACGAGTTTAACTTCGTTGGCCAACCACCTTCGGCAAATACGAGGTTAGCGATTGTGTTGAGTTTCATTGCATACATGACGTTGACCTTGACTAGAGATGTTTCATAGAGTGCAGACGAACGATTCGAAGTGGAGAACACCTTAGCCAGATGAAAGACAACGTCCGCTCCTGTGACATATTTGAGGGCCACATGAACGTTTCGAAGATCGACGAGACAGAAGTCACGAGTGGTAGAGATGGACCATGTGCCGTCGGCATACTGGAGATTGTGAAGTCGACCGTGTGAGAGATTGTCCAAGACTTTGATTTGAGAGGGATTGTATTGTTGTGTGAGTCGTTTGACGAGATGGCTGCCGATGAAGCCAGCGCCTCCAGTGACAATGAAGCGTGGATGTTTTGTGTTTGGATGAAAGAGACCATTTTTGTCGTCATAGTAAATGCAATCACTGCCATCATGAATCATATGCTGATTTGTTAACGGTAAATATTGAGGATCGACATATGACGGTATTGTGCTGATTACCATTTGTCCATGCAGAAGAAGTAAATATTGAGAATAAGTTGATGAACTGAAATACAGAATCCATGTAATAGGAATGGAAACGAATAATGTGCAAAGACATGATTGTTGTGCATTGATCATGTTTTATCTTTCCGTATCAAGGTGGCAGTATCCTAGTATAAAAGCTGCATATTTTATAGCTTTTATTGTCGCAGAGTCGAATAAAAATAAGAAAAAAATGAATGTTTATAATGAAGCAAAGGCATATGGAAGGCCGTCAGCAGATGATTATTCTTTCCTTTGAATATAAAGAGCACTGATGCATAAATTATCTCAATAATGTGAAAACGAAAAAACGAACAGAAGTATATGTTAACCAATGAATCAATGTCTGTCGCGTTTTTAGACAACGATCGAGTGTGTTCTTTCTCCTTAGGTGTCAATAGCGATACACACTGATTTTTCTATTATAAGTAAAATCCAAATGAGAATCGAGATCTTTTTTTGAATGAGAAAGATAGACCCAACTATGCCAATGTGTTACATTAATCGAATTAAAGGACAGAGTATTTGTTGTTTGAAACATCAAGCAATAGCGACATCTTTGTTAAGAACACAACCATAGATTATTTTTCTTGGTGAAATTTATTATTAAAAAAGTTTTGTTTAGAATGTCGGATTTTCACGGCCGTGGCAACTGTGCGACAAAATCGTTTTTAACGACAAGATTGTCGTTGCTATTTTAATCATTGTCTTTCGTTCATTCAAAGTGGTTATATAAGATGTACAGAAGAAGGAAAAAATCTTCACTTCTACTTGTAGTTATTAAATGTTGATATGGATCAAGATGGCAAGCAGTAGGGTCGTTGTGACCTTGGGTTCATGTCGCAATCACGGCCCGTGACCGTCATTCAACAACACTAATTTCTAGGTGAATGGTATATATGGTTGTTCTATTTTCTGATCTTACGCATAGAAACAATCTTTCAATAAAAATTTGAGTAAATCGACCGTCTGAAGTTATTTCAACTTTGTCACTCGCCATTGCGTTTTAGGAATTAGTAAATACTAATGATTGAATAGCTGCTTTATTTCATGGTTTTCAAAACAAAACCTGCTTTACAACTTTCCACTCATAGCGACGAAGAGATTCTATTGCACCCGTCAAGCTCGTGTTGGCACACCGCGCTTTGGCTGATGTAAATTCTTTCGGATACTTCACCCTCAGACCGAACAAGTTCAAATCCGGATCGAATTCACCTCGTGACCATGCCGTTGGGTCGCCTTCCGATCTAACAGTAAACATAGATCTTGAAAATTCTGAGACAGTCAAGCCCATGTCGTCCCAGATCAGCTTCTGCACCACTTCAATGTTTCGTTCATACTGAAACTCTGCCACTTTTTCCAACCAGTAATCAGGTCTGCAAATTAACTCATTCGTGATATTGATCACCTTCATAAACATAGACGCACGAGCAATTAAATGACGATCCGACCAGCCATTGTAATGTTCATCAGTAGGCAATAAAATGTCACTCTCCGTCGTAGTGGTGAAATCAAAATGTTCACATAGATGCAGCTCATCAACTCGAGTCAATATAAACCAATCATATTTGTCGAGCAACTGAAGTTTACTGATCTTTTGTTGTAACAACCATCGCAATCCAAATAATACAGCTGTACGCGAACTGTGCGCACATTTTCCAATTCCGCCCATAAACAATCCCGGAATGTTGCAATATTCTCTCCATTTCCCAACGACTTTGACGTTATTACATGCTTTCGCTGCCATCTCATAGACCAAATCCCATTCATCATGGTTCGGTTCCATCCAAAGATATTGCGCCCTCTCATGTAGATATGAGCTGGTTTCTACCTGAGTTGTATACCATGCTAAATGAGCATTGAAGGGACGCAAGAGAAATTTATGCAAAGAATTCCATGCAAGACGTCCACCACGAGCTTGACCAAGGGCAGTTACGAGTACTCTTGGTTTGTTTTGATTTTCACCTATCCAAGTCATCGTTCGCCAAATACCATCTTCTAACTTCACCTTCGGACTCCATCTCAAAATGTTCTTCCCATCACCGTACGACTCTTCACCGCTTTCACCTGACGTAAACTCGTAGCTACCAGTCACCCTTCTTCCCAGCTTTTCTTCTGATACGTTTTCTATCATATGTACAAGCTCTTTCGTGCTCGTTCTTCTATCACTTCGAACATCTAACACACCCTTGTTCATTCCTTCTTCGTATACCAACATCAGACCGTCCACTGCGTCATCAACATAGATCAAGTCACGGTGTTCTTCTCTTACGCTCCACCGTGTCAATGAGTCCTTGTCTGCGCTCAACCCTTTTGCTATCAGCCAGCCCACTATCTGTTCGTTGAGATCAGTATAGTCACAGTTGGGACCATACACGCTCTCTAAACGCACTACTCCAATGTTGAACTCATGAGAGTGTACTAGATCGTTTTCGTATTGTTTCAACTTCTCACTCAAGGGCACTGACGAGTTTAACTTCGTTGGCCAACCACCTTCGGCAAATACGAGGTTAGCGATTGTGTTGAGTTTCATTGCATACATGACGTTGACCTTGACTAGAGATGTTTCATAGAGTGCAGACGAACGATTCGAAGTGGAGAACACCTTAGCCAGATGAAAGACAACGTCCGCTCCTGTGACATATTTGAGGGCCACATGAACGTTTCGAAGATCGACGAGACAGAAGTCACGAGTGGTAGAGATGGACCATGTGCCGTCGGCATACTGGAGATTGTGAAGTCGACCGTGTGAGAGATTGTCCAAGACTTTGATTTGAGAGGGATTGTATTGTTGTGTGAGTCGTTTGACGAGATGGCTGCCGATGAAGCCAGCGCCTCCAGTGACAATGAAGCGTGGATGTTTTGTGTTTGGATGAAAGAGACCATTTTTGTTGTCATAGTAGATGCAATCGCTGCCATCATGAAGAACATACTGATCAGTTGAGAGAAAACTTTCGAGATAAGTATTTGATTGCAGATGGCTGATTACTATTTTTCGGTACTGACGGAGAATGTGGCGATAAGAAGTTGGCTGTTTTATATAGAATAACGTTCCGACAACGATACAAGTAACTAATAGGAGAAGGCATAAATGTTGTTGGTTCATCATATTTGTATGTAATTGGCTGTGTTGATCTAGAAAAGAATTATAAAGCGACAATACAGGTCACTCAATATCGGAGTGAAGAAGCTATCTGGCATATACGATAAACAGGTAGAACATGGGAAAAGTAATCGTTACGTACTCCAGATTATTTATAGCTATCACAAAAGAGAATCGTTCGTTATGAACTATAGACAATATTTTTTACATGGATGTGTTCGTTTTCATTGAAGCATACATTATCTTAGTCACATGGGAACTAATAAAACATCACCAACCTACAGAAAACGCAAACGCAACCGAATGACTATTTTTTGCTCGTTCTGCGTATAGCAAACGCCATGTGTTTGTTCGACACGTATTATTCTTATATTACTGTTCGTCGTGAAGGCTATAGATTTGATCGATATTGAATCGAAGATCGAAGCGTCTATTTGATAGTATCCATGGTAAAAAGATAGATAGATTATATTTTATATAGATTGTGCTATTGACAACGGGTACGAGTGTTGAGCACTCTGATGGTCCAGCGAGCCCTTTTCCTCCTGAAGTTTTTTATTTGAATTGTCCACACCAGAATACCTAAAAGTAGCCACCAGAGTAACAGGAAAAAGCGATGTTATTCTCACATGTCTATATATCATAAAAATCATGAATAGATGTTCTAAACAAAGCATTCTGACAAAAGTGCTGTAAAATAAAGTTTTACTTCTTTCTAATCATAGTAAGAATAAATACATAGGTGAAAACACGCCGATCAAGAAAGGTACTTACTGAGCATGTGGTACATTGGTTATTTTTTATTGAAAGAAATTTTTTTGGAACATACTATTGTGCGTATAACCACAAAACAATGTTCTATTCACTATCTATTTATAAAACAATTAATTCCTTGTAAAATAATTAATGTAAATATCTAATTGTAGATGAACAAAATTGAGCTATAACCAAACACGTTGGTCAAAAGAAAAGGAATGAGAATGTTATTAAATTATACGAGAAGAAATACAAGAGAGAAAGATCAGACACAGAATAACAACACGTGACCGAAAAAAAGAAAGACAAAACAATATGCACTGCAAATAGTGCCCACTAAATTACAACAAACAAATTTTTCTCTTATGATCCGACTAAAGTGCATGTTATAACATGATGTATTTAACAAGCGTCATGAAAAATTAATTTAGGGATAAAGATTAGATTCAGACTCTTGTTATATGGTCCAAGATAGTTACTCCTAAGGATGACACAAGATTCCTCGTTAAATGTCTTCTAGTTCAAAAAAATCAAATTTTTATAAAATGGTCTCTATAGAGACCAAAGGGCAAGAAAGGGTTAATATAAGAAGATAAATTATCGAAAATAAAATGTTTGATAGAACTGTTTGTTTATAAGTTGATTTCGATAAAGATAAAAGTTGAAGATTTATTGAAAGATTTTCAAAACGAGTAAGAAAACAATTTGTTGATAAACCATAAAAACGAGAAGAAAAAGTATTAAAATAAAAAAATAGAATTTTTTTACGAACATTTCCAAATCATTTGCTTTTATCATCAATAGTATTATTTTGTCGTGTCATTTTCTCCATGATGCTTATGAATGGATATTAATATTATAGAAAGAAAAAGATTTGTTGTTCGACATACTAAATCTACATATTTTGTTATTTCACAATCATATTTAATAAATATCAAAATTTAGTTGAAATCAGAGATGTCCACCGCGGATGAGAATGTACTGCTACCGCGATAGGTTTTTTAAAATCTTTGGTTTTTCAAGACTCTCAGGCATCTAAACCAAAACTGTAGTCATTAATCGATCAAACTCATCAAGTCTCTCAGCATACTATGTAACAACATCGAAATTCTCTTTAAATTCTCATGTTTTTCGAAAAAGATTTCTATAGCAGCTGCCGCGCTGCCACCGCGATCGTAAAAAAAATCTGCCGCTGTGGACATCTCTGGTTGAAATGTTATTTACTGCAAAAAATGTTTTTGCTTATCTAAAAGTAATAATTCAAGTTCCAAAGAAATCTTTTGAATACCATATTTTTTTATTATCACACGGAGTAAGAACTAACATGATAAAATTGTGTATGAAGGTAGGTGTGGATCTCCTTCCTATATCTTCATATTCACACCCTCAAGACTTTAAAATTAAGTTTTTGTCACAACGTTACGTTTATCTCCTTTTTAAAAGAATTATTATTAAGAAGAAAAGTAGTCTGTTAGAGTTACCGCGAAAAGTTAGCAATAGTCTACTAGTTTATTTATCAGTATTTTGTAACTGATTTGTCGAAATTTTAAAATCCGATCTTTCAGTAACGCTATGACAATAATATCTTGAATTCAAGTAAAGAGTAGAAGTTGATTCTTTTGGAATCAGAAAGGTATCACTTTATAGTTTTTAAAATATTTGGTAGCTCAACTCTAAAACTCGAGAGTAGAGCATAAAACTTGGCAAGATCAAGAATCACACTTTTTGAAAACAAAGTACATTCTCTGACGCTTTCACCTCTGAATAAAATATTTAATGATCGAAGTGTCGCATTACGTAGACAAGTTGAATAACAAATCAACAGAGGCAAAGACAATAAGTACCAAAAGTTAGTCGTTGAGAAATTTCATTATTAAGACAAATGATTTTAATGTTTATTTGTGGGTGGATTCCAACTCTTTTGATTAATACTATGATTTTACTAATAGATCTTGATTTAATAATTCTAGTTAATTTAATGTTATCCAGTGAAATATGTGTAATTAGTATAATTGTAAATTTGTTCGTATGTAATTATCAACTGAGAGAATTCCTATTTAGCAAAGTTCATATTTGCTTTAGATGTTAATCTTCTTTTCAACATGATTAATAAAGATTATCTATTTTAAATTTTCTTGAGGGTTATTTGAGTACACTTCATCTACATGTGCATTTTTTTAGTATTGTATTGAAGAAATTCAAATGCTATGATCAAGTCTAGAGATGGGCAAGTCAAACGAAGTCGAAACTTATTACAAGAATTCCTTTTAAATATTTTCTTTCTGTTTGAAGACAAAAATTCCGAATTTCTTTCGAAAAGAAAAAAGAAGTTTAATACTAAGTTTCCACGAACATCATGATTACTTTTGAACAGGAAACAATTAGAAAGAATGAATAATACAACAAAACATATTATGCAATACCGTTATTACATTTCAACAAGACGTTCCTTTTCGTGCATTAGCAACTATTCTTTCAAAGTTCATTTTTGTTTTATTGATATTTCCAAAAAACAAAATGCAACAAATGTCTTATGTTCATTACTATATCGCTTTCATTTGCTTTTTAAACAATGAAAAGTCATTCGTGTTTATCTGTGTAACTGTTAAAAGATAATTATCAACAGTTTTGATCAACATTACACAATAGTCTCATCATTCAAGTTGCGTGATTCTTCACTTGAATTATTCGAAGTTGCAGCTGGTCCCATCTCTCCTTCTTGGACATGACACAATTTTGATCGAATCATACGAATAATGCTACATGGTGTAGCTATTCGAGTCGGATACTGTTTCCATATTAAAAACCATATGAGAGCTATAATACTAATGATAGCAGCAACTACAATACCAATGATGGAATTAAAAGTGGAACGTGTTCGTTTGAAAAGAAGTTTTCTTCTCTTTTTTATAGTATTACTAATCAAAGAAGTGAAATTTGATTGGATGAATTGATGTAACATGATCTGTGATCGACGTGGTTGATCATAGGGTACCATATGACTACCATTATAGAAAAGAATATAAGTTAAATTACGTGCACGTCGAATAAGACCTGCAGATTCACCATCTATAATCCACGATTCTGTCGGAGCTAATATACCATTTCCCAAATCAAAACCAGTTCGATTGTTCCAAGTCATGGTATCTATCATTAACTCAGTGCCCATATGATTAGAAATCAAGTCATATTCACCACTATAAAGTAGGATAGGGATTTGTCGAAGTAAATCAGGCAATAATGTGATCGACGGTTTAGAGTGTATCGCAGTAAACTTAAAACGAACAATTTCTGCACATGGAACCCATCTCACTGTCCAATCGTCAACGTGTATGCGTGACATAACATCTTTTCGTTGCAAATACTGCTTGACATAAATCATTTCCGCTGGCCAATTAGTACCACATGCAGGAGGTATATCGTCTAGTCGAATATCGTACATATTAACACATCTACCTTTTTCATTTGCTCCATGATGATTATTCATTGAACCATTTTCAACAATATCATAGAGAATACGATAACATGTGTGATAGAAAATCTGTGAATAATCATGCAATGCCTGTTCACATAGTTTCGTTTGATGAGCAATACGATAAAACAGTTTAGAATTTTCTTCTACTAAATTATTTTCAACTGCGAATGGTAAAAGCGATTTATATTTTGAAATGGGATCAGTGAAACCATTTCCAATCAGAAGACCACGCAGTTTCATATCTGATCGCTTATCGAGAATAGTTCGTGCGATATATGGAATGTATTGTCCTGCAAACGATTCACCAGCCAAATAAATATCGTCTTCAAGTAGTTCTGGAAAAATTTCAATATATCGATTAAGAAAACCAAGAAAGTGATCAGCCATTTCATCAAGTTCACGAACAAATAAACGTGAATATGTTTTAGAAAAGCCGGTTCCTAAAGGTTGATCTACAAACAGAAGATTAGCATGCAAATGCCAAGATCCATTATTTTCGACGATCGTATTTTCATCTTGAAAACGAAAAGGACCAATGATAAGCCAAATTCCCATCATACTACTACAACCAGGACCACCATTGAGCCAAATGACTGTTCTTGACTTATCAGTCACATTCTTTTGAGCAAAATGCCAGAAGAATAAAGTACCATGATGTATTGAACTAACAGGTACATGTCCAGCATGCATACGAATCGATGAAAGATTTGTTGGTAAAAGAGGCAAATCATGTACATAAAAATCTCTAGCTTGTAAATCGACGATCGCTTGAGAAAAGGTCGAAATGTAGATAAATAGTAATGTAACTATCAGAGATAAAAGATGCATTATCTATTGCAGTGAGCTGACTTGACGAATATCTAAAATAAATCATATATTTACAATTTAGAGTTAATTAATCGAAAAAAGTAATATAAAGTATGTGAAATAACAGCGTCTCTAATAGTAGTTATACATGATAAAACATGAATAAGTATGCCTGTTGATTTATGATTCACATGTTGTCTTAAACTGAGAGGGAATTTCCAGAATAATAGTCACGAAAAAAGAACTATACGCCTATACGAATTACTATTTCATATCTTATATATTGTAAATACAACTATAAAATGGAATAGTACATCCATCAATCATCTAAAAGACGAAGAATAACTTAAGGTATTAACGGAAATGATAGACAATATATTTTAGGTTTAAACGAAGGGAGAAAAATCATTTTGATTCTATTGAAATTGGTTCAATCAAAAATTTTAAAAAAATATGCTGTATTTTCTCTGTTTAGTCGTTAATTTATCTTACAGAACACGCATGTAGTCATAATTATAATCTGCGTTTCTGTTTTTGTCAGAAAATATGTTCTTTACTTGTTTTTTTCTTTTTTGTAGAAACTTCAATATTATCGAATATAAGATGACAACAAATGTCAAGTGATGGTGACGAGATGAAACTTTGGAAGAGAACGGAAAAGAAAAAAAGAGGAAGAGTAAAATGGCAGATTCTTCTCATCGCTTTACAGAAGACAAGAATGAGTTTTTCTCTTACGATTCTACACTGTTGTAAGGAAACAAACAGAACACACGATCAAATAGTTAAAGAACATAATGTCGACTTATATTCTTCGTGAAGAAATAACGTTCAGATGCTTCAAGTTGATAAATATTGACTCGTTCAGTCATAATTGCTTCTTCATCAATAACTACACGCGAGCATTCTCGAAAAGACACATTACGCATGATTTATATGAGAAATAGAATTCGGAAAAAAATAAATAACGCTCGTCGGAGGTGACTCGCATTACCCTCGACTGAAAATATCACAATATATTATCAATTTGATATTTGTTTTTCTTTGTTTCACTTAAGAAAAATAGTTTCTAATATAATGTAAACTGTATTTATTTATTTCTCTATGAAGTAAAGACACGCTAACGATATAATGATCAACTGCATAAAAGAAAAGAAAAAACAACTGTATATTGATTGAATATAAACAAATACAGATTGAAGAAGCTAAACAAAAAATACATCTGCAGAAAAATTCGAAAAGAAACTTGTACTTACATTTGCAAACAATAAATGAA